GCAGAGGAGGCCTATAAAGCTGTGAATACTTTTCATGGTGAGTCATACATTTTAAATATGCTCTAGATCATAATGAATAACTAGGTGGTGAAAGTTATTTCACACGAGGTAATTATAGTAAAACATGCTACAATCTTTTATTTCTTCCCCGTGATCTTTTTGAGCACCACAAAACCAGGATATAGGATTTATGTGGAGCATCTCCATGATTTTAATCAGTTCACTGTAGGAAAAGTGACAGACATGAACCATCTAAAAAAGCAATTAAAATGAAGAACAAGTGCTGCCAAATAATGAGGCTCTCTATTTGGCTGATATGTAACAGACCAAGCATAACACTAAATTTTAAGGCAGAAACACGTGCTAGTGCTGAAGCAAACATATCTTTCATGAAGCTTGTGAAGCGAAATGAGTCAGTTATGGTCAGTGACAGCTATTAAAAAATTACATTAAACATCTTAGACTCTTAGAATTAGATTATAATTCTTATTTTGTTATCACTGTCTCACTTCATTCAGGTGGAAAGTTCTGAACTGAGCTTCATGTCATTTTGTATTTATGCTTTTTTTCCCACCTAAATGCTTTGGCAAGTGCTCTGCGATCATAGAGCCAATTTTATCACTAGTCACTAACAGGCTTTAGATGAATTTGGCTGAAACTTCTTTCCGACATACTCTTTGTTCAGTCGTATTTTTGACTAGAAAAGCAAATTAAGGAGACAAGCCATCTTTAGTTTCTCAAGAAGCCTAAATTTTGTTCCAGCCATTTTGCAAGTATTAAGACAAATAAATAGAGGAATTAGGCCAAGCTTGCGTATATTATTGGTCAAGTATATGTTATGTGCTTATTCCTTGTAAAAAAAATGTTTATGTGCTTATATCACCCCATGCTTGTATCAGCACATTCTTCACCCAATAAAGGTGCTTCAATTTTGGAAATTCTATGTTGTCTCTTGTTTCCTCTCTCATATTGTTCACCTACTCTTCGGTGTACTGACAGTTTCCGTTCTTGAATTGAGTGATTTACTTGCCATAATAGGTGTCTTGATCTCTTAGCATCACAGTTCGGCATTAACTGACTACACTGTATGAGCTTTGATGTTTATGAGATGTTTCACAGGATTTATGTTGCGTCGAAAGCCGTTATATGTGGCTATTGCTCAAAGAAAGGAGGAAAGACAGGCCCAACTACAGCTTCTATATGCACAACGACTTGCAGGGCTAACAGGACCTCCAGCTATGTTTCCTGGTGGATATCCTCCTTTTTACTACCCAGCCCCCGGTGTTGTTCCTCAAATGCCTACACGACCTGGGCTGATGTATCAGGCTCTCGGTGTGAGGCCGGGTTGGAGGACTAATGGGTTCACAAACACCACTAGACCTGCCTTTCAACCTTCTCCAGTTCCCTTGGTTAGTCCCTGTAAACACTCATAGCACTCACTTGGTATCTCTACTTTCTCCACTTCTTGGAGTTTGTTATGGTCGATTAAGTTCTATTTGAATGCACAAAAAATTTATCCTTTTAGCACCAGTTGGGACACGTTAAACTGTGTTAACATGCTATAACTTAAACTTATGATGAAGGAGGTCACAGCTTGCGTCTTATTTTTCAGATTCCTAATAATTCCCGACAATATAGGCAGAATAGGGGAAGGATGAATGGATATATGCCAGCTTCAAATGTGACAAGCGTGCAGCAATCAAGTCAATCAGTGGTGTTATCAAATGGCAATCCTCAGGTGGTTAACCTCCTTACCTATTTTACATAATGTGAAATCTTGATTGTCCAAGTGTAAGGGTACCAAAGTGCTTTTAGAAGTTCTATTTGGAATGCTTACGTTAAAAACTGTTTAACTTCAAAAGTTTGACATTTGGGGCTTCCATGAAATATGAGCTTGCATTTAGATTGAAAGGGATTAGTGTGCTTAAATTCATAGTCAGGTAAAGGATAGAATAATTTCGCAGAAGCATAAAGATTAGTATCTATTCCATTCTCAATTTTGTGTAGCTACTCGTGATTTTTGGTGTTGATAGTATAGTTTTTCAAGAAATCTTGCTCAACTCCTTTATATTGCCACCAGAAGTTTGTTTCATATTTTTGAAACATCTAGGCCTTCTGTGTGCTGGCACTAAATTTCCTGAAATTGTTGTGGTTAGTTGGTTATTTCTAATTTGTAGTATTGCATGTTATTTCTAATTTGTAGTATTGCACTATCATATATCATTATATCCACGTTTGCCTTATATTTACCTCAGCATTTTGGTACGACTCATGTCTCACAAAGTAGCTATAACATCTATACTTACATTCAAGTTACTCAGGAATTTTCATCTTGAAATGGGAACCTGGTTACTTTTCTTATTTCTCCCCCTAGACTGATTCTCTTCAGAGTTAACATATGTTAGAACTTAAATAGTTGTAATAAGAACCACTTAACACATTGTATAGTCCTCACACTTACTGGTCTCAACTATCGAGTAACTATGTTACGTTGTCCTCAAGTTTTAGGCATGGCGTGTGCATGGGCCATTTTGTTTGAGATAGTTAAGCTGGGAGTTTTCAGTTTAATCCTTCTTTCTCCTGTTGGAGTACTAAAGAGTGCATCTGCATAGGATACCCGCGTCTTAAATATCTTCTTTTCTCTATTAGAATTCTTTTGTCGAGCAAATCGATATATTTCCCTTTACAATCACTTTGAAAACCTAGTACCATATTTAAAAAGATAAGAGCTGGTTTAGCCATTTATAATTTCGGAGAAGAAGTTTGTTTTAAATATTAAAAGATAGCTTATTTGTTCATTTTACTTAGTTGTGTACGTTAATAAGCTACAAACTCCTACTGTTGGTGAATGCCTTAACCTAGTATAATAATTATTCGAAAAATCGCTAATTATTCTGTTTGATTGGTGGCCAATGTATCACTAAATACTCCCAAAATTTTGCATGCATGCAGCGTGCTGGGCAGTTCAAATATGTGCCCAATGGCCGGACTCGTGACATGAACAAAGGATCTGTTGCATCAAATGCTGGTTCTGCTGCAGTTGGATCTGTTGGATCAGTTGCTGAGGGATCTCAAATGCTGAGTACCTTGCTTGCTTCTGCTGCTCCTGAGCAGCAGAAACAGATACTTGGAGAGCGCCTTTATCCTCTTGTCAATCAACATAAGGTGAATTTCTTTCTATCTTTCCTTTTCCTTCAATAATAGCTTTTCGCTGGATTTCTTGTGCCAAATAATTTCAAGATTGCTGCTGGTTTATTGGTTCTTTTATCGAAAACCAAAAGATTAAAGAAACACTTGAGACAGGACTTAATTAATCCATCCTTAACAAATTGATTGCTTGGTTTGGTGGTCTGTCAAGAAGCTCTTTGAAGCTGTCTAGTTTTGTTCTCACTTACCTTTGGTTATTTACAATCAGTCTAACCTCAGTTAGTAGCGATTGGTCTTCGATGTTTCCTGACAACCGGAGAATTAGCAAAGCCATCTTAATAATGAAAATTACTTGGTTTCTGCAGCCCGACCTTGCTGCAAAGATAACGGGAATGCTCTTGGAGATGGACAATGCGGAACTACTGTTGTTGTTGGAGTCGCCGGAGTCTCTGGCAACCAAGGTGGAGGAAGCTGTTGAGGTGCTCAAGCTGTCTAAGGCTAAAGTTTCTAGCCAAGATTCACTTCATCCAAGTTTTCTTTCCGCGGAAGTTGCTGTCAACTGAAGAAAGGCTGCTGTGACAATTTTGTCTTTAGAAAAGTTTGAGGTTTTCTGAAGGGGTGGTGGTATGGTTAGGTAATAGAGTAAGCAAGGGTTGTCATACATTCTGGCAACCCCACACTCCGCTGCATGGAGTTCACATTTCGGCTTTTTGTCTGAAAATAGACTTATCTCTATTTACCTTCTTTAGAGGGATTTACTTCAGATTTTACATGACTTTATATTATATTTTGGTTTTAGTGCAGACTTTTGAAATTTTTTATGATGGTGTGTTTCTTTTTATATTTGTCTTAGTTAAATATCCTTCTATATATGATGTGTGCATGCTGCGATAGCTTTTGGGAAGCCAAAAACACTTTTATTCTCCAAAAAAACACATTTCTTTTGTGTGGAGACTTGAGGTGTTTGACCAAAAACAAGAAGTGGTTTGAGAACCAGCAGAAACAGTTGTTCTCTGTTGTTGGGGAAGCTACAAGTTGTTCTTAAGGAGAAGCAGAAATTAATTCTTTCAAGACAAAAAAGTGTATTTATCAATTATCTCCCTTTAATTTAACCCATATATCTCAAATGAAAATTTGTATTTACCAAACTCTCTCCTGTTAATTTAACCCATTATCTCTCGCGTATAATTAAATACAACCCTCTTTCTCCTCTTCTCCTTTTTTTTCCTTGTCTAATTATATTTATATTGATTAAAAACCTAATTAATATATACTTATAGTTTATGTTTTTAGATTTTTATCTATATCTATATTATTATAAAAGCATGAATGCTAGAAAGTTAAATGTTGAACGACAAAAATATCCCTATAATATTGACCGATAGTTATACCCTTCATAAATTAAAATATCCTATATAAAGAAACAAATTACATGTTGGATATGTAGGACCCATAAAAGGAAAAAAGGAAATAAAGAAAAAGTTAAAAAAGTTGGTGAAGTCAAATTAGGGTGGCTGAAATTTTTTCAATAAGGGCGGCTGAAATCTGGACTTTACAAATTGAGGAACCAATCAGATTGGTTGGGTTGGTGAAAATGTGCCTATAAATATGAGCTTCATTCGTTCAGTTTAAGTACACCAAAATAACGAGAGAAGCATAAAGTAGTGAGAGTAATCCACAGATTGTGGTCTGTGAGATAACTAGTGAGTGGTAGTAATATTGTAGTGGGGTATTTTAAATAAAGAGTGTTATTTCTTTCAAAGTTGTAGTAGTCTCTTGACACTACTGAGTTGTAATATTATAGTGGTAATATTGCTCCACTCGGGTATTGCATTTTATCCCGCTAAAATATTTGGTGTCATTGTTACTCTCTTGTGTTATTATTATCTGCTGTGAATATTATTCCTGGGCGAGATTACTTTTTATCCCAACAATGTGGTATCAGAGCCATGACAAATAATGGTCATCTATCTTTTCAGTACCCCCGTCTCACAAAAGATAATTATGAGAAATGGTGTCTACGTATGAAAGTCATTCTTGGCTCCCAGGATGTGTGGAAAATCGTAGACAGAGGGTATGCAAAACCAGATAATGAGGAAGCTCTGTCTCAAAATGAAAAGAGGTCTTGGCAAAGACAAGGAAGAAGGATTAACAAGCTCTCACGCTCATCCATCAATGTTTGGATGATGCCATGTTTGAGAAGGTGGCTGATGCTACCACCTCAAAGG